AAGCTTTCATTATTTTGAAGCAACTAAACCAATTACCTAGCGTACTTAAAATATCTTTCCTAGTTTTTTAAAATGTTGTTCACTGTTAAAATTCTGTTTATGTAAGATATAGCCTTCTTTCTTAATTTCTACAATCCTATTAGTATTTATCTCATTATTTAGCTGATTTAGACTCTCACAGTAAGTGGTTTTCCACAAATGGTTTGGTTTCCTGGCCATCACAACACCATTTACTTAATCCCCACTTTCCCCACTGATCTGTGTAACCACCTTTACCACAGGCTAATAAATTCTTCATTACCTTTGAGTTCAATTTTAAATTTTATTGTGCTCCTTTTGTTACAGCAGTCTTAGAATACATTTTAATAATTTATTGGGTAAATGCCCTTGTGATTATTATACCTCTGAATCCATTTATCCTACTAATGAACTTTATAGTCGGTCACACTCCCTGCACTCTTAAAAAATATTGAGATTTTTATGGAATCACATTAAATTAGTAATTATGGCAACCGGTCTATTCAAATTGTCCTATAATTACTTTAATCTCAATATTTTTAATTTTTCTTAAAAATTATATATTTCATTAAGACTCATTTTAATAGTATGCATAAGCACTGTCTAAATTATTTTAATCTACTACATATTATAAATCAATTTCAATTATATATTGAAACATTTTATATGAGCGCTTTGTCTCCCTCTACACTCACCATCTTAAGATTCTTCCCAGCTTTGGGGCACCTGGGTGGCTCACTCAGTTAAGTGTCCACTCTTGGTTTTCTGGGGTTGTGATCTCAAGATCATGAGATCGAGCCTCACATCAGCTCCTCGCTCAGCGTGGAGTCCGCTTGAGATTCTCTCTCCCTCTCCCCCTGCCCCTCCTGCTTGTGTACTCTCTCTGTCTCTCTCTCTCTCTCCCTCCTGCTCTCTAAAATAAATGGATAAATCTTTAAAAAGAAAAACAGGGGTGGCTCAGTCATTAAGCGTCTGCCTTCGGTTCAGGTCATGATCTCAGTGTCCTGGGCTCGAGCCCCACATCGGGCTCCCTGCTCGGTGGGAAGCCTGCTTCTCCCTCTCCCACTCCCCCTGCTTATGTTCCCTCTTCTGCTGTGTCTCTCTCTGTCAAATAAATAAAAAATAAAATCTTTAAAAAAAAAAAAAACAATAAATGGGGGCGCCGTGGTGGCTCAGTCGTTAAGCATCTGCCTTCGGCTCAGGTCATGATCCCAGGGTCCTGGGATCAAGTCCCACGCCGGGCTCCCTGCTCAGCGGGAAGCCTGCTTCTCCCTCTCCCACTCCCCCTGCATTGTGTTCCCTCTCTAGCTATGTCTCTGTCAAATAAATAAAATCTTAAAAAAAAACAATAAATGTATATCCTTTGATACAAAGAATAAAGTGAGACAAGTACCTATTCAACCAAGTTTAACTGGTCTCACTCAAAAAAAAAACAAAACACAAAGTCTTTATAATGGCCTAAGAAAGTCATGTGCCAAGTGGGCTCTGTTAAGTTTTATCTCATTTCTATTTTTCTCCCCACTGATAACTCCTCTCCAGCCACAACAGACTTCTAAACTATGTCAGGCATGCTCCTACCTCAGAGCTCATTTACTTATTAACCCTCTTCCCAGAACTTGGGAATCCCAGCGATACTCACATGGGCTTGCTCCCCCTCCACTTTGTTCAAAGGTAGTCTACTTTTATTACTATAAGTATCTCTCCTACTGGAAGCTTCGTTACAGCAGAGGTCTTTGTTTTGTGTTTGTTCAATCATGTATCCCCAGAGCCTGTAATAGTGTCTGGTATATAGCAGGTACTCCAAAACATAAATACATAAATAATTTAAAAATTTTTTAAAAATCTCTTGGTTGAATAAATGGGTATTTAAAAGCATAGGCTCTGAAGCCATAATGCCTGAGTTAAAATCTCAGCACCCTCCTCTTACTAGTTATGTTACCTTTAGCAACCTCCTTAACTTCCGTATGCCACAGTTTTCTCCTCAATAAAATAAAAAATAATAGTAATAGTACTTACCTCATAGGGAAGTTCAGAGAATTAAAGTAGGTAATGCATGTGAAGTACCTTAATTACTTTAATATTCATGAATAGTAAGTGTAAAATAATGATGACTAATGACTATTATTACTTTAATTCATTCTTGAGATATACTTCAAAATCTTCCACCATGTTTAAGTTTTAATTAATTTTCCAAAAATTTATATCAATTTTTGCTTTATATAAACTCCAATGTCATACTATGTCACACAAATTATTACTACTGTGGAGAACTATCACTTTCCTTTATGTGAAAAATGTTATCTTTTATGTTTTTCTCCTTGAGTCCTATTTTGGTAATGCACTTTTCCTTCTTTTGTTCTTGTTTTAGTTTCTGTTTTTGCTATATTCTTTAGTATTCTTACATTTGACAGGCTTATCCTTAACTATTCCTCTCTTTTCCATCCTTTTTGTGTCAATTTGCTTTAGGTCTATCTGTTCTAAAGAACATAGCTAGAAATGAAGGGTAGGCCTTCAGCACAATATGTCCTATCAGTTCTATCCCATAAACACTAGTAGGATTTCCTCAACAACTTCCCTGTCCTCCAGCAGATGCTAAGGTTGGAGTCATCCAGGAGACCCAGGCTTTGTCATTCTTAGGCACACTTCACACTCTCATGTTAGGCAGCCTTCCTAACTATTTTTTTAATCCTCTATAAACTCTTTTAAGTTTCCAGTGTGAGAATAGTAATAGGTCAATGGGATTTCTGGTGAGTGAAGGTTGGAGAGAGATTAACACACTGACTGGCTCAGTATACTATCTCAAACCAGAAATCTCTTTATTACCTGATAATATCAAGTGCTGCTCTAAAAGGTAAAACAAATAAACCAAAAAAAAAAAAAAAGCTATTCTTACTACTTTTCTTTTTCACCCAGATTCAACTTCTATTGTTTCTAGCTCATTGCTAGAAATTCAATTAAATATTATGTAAATGGCAATTACAGAAAAACCTTTTCTTGTTCCTCTATGAAGAGACTGTCAATGCCCTGCAGCCAAAGACCAATAGAAATAAACACCTGCAGCTGAACAAGTTTTAATTACCACTCACTAAAACAAAGAATATAACACACTGTGGGTAAGAGAGAGGTATCTCAGTTAAGAGCCAACTTATAGGATACAGTCTCATGTTAAGTGTTTGGGGGAGGGCTGTGGATGGGATGCTTTCAAGAAGTGGGGGAAATTCTGTGGTTGAGTATCTAGAAGGACAGAACACTACAGTAACACTACAGTTGTAAATAGTAAAGCAACAGCAATTGCTCATATTAGCCAGGACATTAGTGTCTTTGGTATTTTTGGGGGCTTGCATGGTGACTTTGTTTTTATATGTGCTTAGACAGTTTATGAAGTGACCTTATATTTGTTTTACTTCATCACAGTCACAGAATGGATTTATCTGATGTTGATGTTTTGTGAGATTAGAGTCAAAAGGAAAACAGCAAGGTCCAACTGTGAATACAAAGCTGTTTCCAGATTCAAAGACTGCTTTTTCCTCTCAAGTTTTTAAGGTATGTTTCAACTTAATGCTTTAAAATTTCTCCTGATATATCCCATTATGTCTTATAAAAACAAGAAGATCAGGCACCTGGGTGGCTCAGGTAGTTAAGCGACTGCCTTCAGCTCAGGTCATGATCCCGGAGTCCTGGGATCAAGTCCCACATCCGGCTCCCTGCTCGGCACAGAGTCTGCTTCTCCCTCCTACCCTACCCCCTCTTGTGCTCTCTCTCTCAAATAAATAAATAAAATAAAAATCTTTAAAGAAAAAAAAAGAAACACGAAGATCTGGTGTTTTCACTGTTGTTCAGAAAGAGATGCAAACTAATCTATGAATTTAATATAAAATAATAGGCCAAATACATGCATGCATATGAAGATAACACAGGATGTTCAGAGTAGTTATACCAACTAACCATGAAAGTAATAGAAGTGGTCATCTAAGTAGTGGGAAAAGGAAAACAAACAAAACCTGCATGATCCAAAAGAATTTTTTCACTTTGATAAAAATAACCACACTACACATAAAGTGAATATACAAATCAACATGCATTTAAAAACACCTCATTGTTTCCCTCTTACTATGAAGGATAATATTAAGACAATTTCTACAATCTGAATAAGATACAGGGAGTAGATAATAGCATTGTATCCATGTTAACTTTTTGAATTTTAAAATATATTTTAATTACATAAGACAATACCCTTGTTTTTAAGGAAATACACACTAAAGTATTTCAAGGTAAAGGATCATTATGTCTGTACCCAACTCAAACAATGCAGAGAAGAAAACTTATGTGTGCATAAGCAAAAGAGAGAATGAGAATGAACAAAAAAATGTGATCAAATGTTAACTTTTAGACAATCTAGATAAAGGACATAAAGGAATTCCTTTTACCATTTTGGTTATTTTTCTCTAAGTCTGACATTAATTCAATATAAAAAGTCAAAAAAAAAAACCCAAAAAGTCCAGCCTCAAAATTAGATTTGACAAATACCAGCATCCCCAAGTTAAAGATGGAGAAAGTAAACGTCAAAACAATCATACCATTAATTAGAAGAGAGGTAAAGCTGAAGTCTATTTTACTCAAATCTGTAGTTTACTTCCCACAGAAAAGCTTAACATTTCCAACATAATGATGAGTAATTCATCAATAGATTATAAAGATCCCTGAGAAAAACAATGTGCTGATTATTCATAATTTCATCTTACAGTATTTCCTTCCTCTCAAGGTCTCATGTTACTAGTATTCAAAAAAATTTTTTTTCACTCATCATTGAGCACATAAATAGCTGTTTATGCATCAGAACTATCTAAGTCCCAATCAATGCCACAGCACTCAAAACAGTTACGTTTGTGACAGGACATTCCAGTAAACTAATCTATGACTTTAAAACTCAGATGATTATATTCATTGTACCATGAAAACATACTGCTAAATATATCATTTACCTGAGAACTGCCACTGAAACCAGGAGGTTGGCTGTATTCAGTAGAATCAATAATACTACTGCAAAATGAAGAGAGAAAAATATGATTTCAGTGTTTACATTATTCTAGCAACAGAAAAAGTAAATCTAAAATACATCATATCTAAATCCAATATTTCTTATTTCTAAGCAAAGAAAATATTTATTGCCAATAACTTAATTAGATACCAAATAAATGCATAACCCATAAACAATCAGCAAATAAACAATTTATAAACCCTTCACCCCACCACCTTAAACAAACACACCATGAAAGAATATCAATAGGAAATAATCACAAAACAAGTGTATACAGAAATGTATCTGCTTCAATTTCATTTTCAGATAGGAACACTAAGGAAAAAAGGACTTAAGAGTATTAGGAAAAGAGCACAAGCAATCCATCCAAGTTACAGTTAAGAGGTCCTGTTAGGCCACTAAAAAGCTACGTGTCCTCAGACACATACTTTGTAACCACTCCGTTTCCTCATCTTCAAAGTGAGATGAGTGGGGATTATCACTAGATTATCTAGAGTCCCTTCCAGGTCCAAAATGTTACGATAAACATCTCATGTGAAGGAAAATTACCAAAGGAATAGAATAAATGATAACCCATAATCTTTTTTTCACAATCCAATACCTAGACACTAGTTTTCTATACCTGATCAAAAACATAATCTGCTTTCTGCATTGGTTCTTTTTATTTGGTTGTAATGTCTCCGCATTTTCCTACATAAGTTTAGAAAAATCTCTGAAACTATCTTTTTTTCCTATTAGTTCTATCTTTACCACGCCTATATTCTTCTCATCTTTAAATTAGCCTCTGAAGACCATTAACCCCTGAAAATGGCAAAACATGTATCAACCATGATAAACCACAGTTATTTACATTTTTAAAAATTCTCCTTCCGGGCACCTGGGTGGCTCAGTTGGTTGGGCGACTGCCTTCAGCTCAGGTCATGATCCCAGCGTCCCGGGTATTGAGCACCGCATCAGGCTCCCCGCTCAGCGGGTAGTCTACTTCTCCCTCTCCCTCTGCTTCTTCCCCTCCCCACCTTGTGCTCTCTCTCTCTCTCAAATAAATAAATAAAATGTTTTTAAAAAATCATTTAAGGCTGAACATTAAAAAAATAAATGAGGGTTTTAAATAAATAAGGGAACTGAATGGACAAAAAATTGTTATGTACACACATGAAATTAGACTAACTGCTGCTATTCATTTGTTCTTTCATTAGTATAAATTTAAGACAGAGAAGAATAAGCCTCTACATTTAATAAACTATATGGGCCTAGAGCCAAAACCTGTTCCCTTGCAGTATTTTACATAAAAGTATTAAACCAGTTCCCCAAAACAAAGCATGCTAAGCAACATGTAACCTGAAAATAATTTGATTTATAAATTTTAATAATGATTAATTAAAATCAAATATGGTTTTAATTACTTTTTTTTAAGATTTTATTTATTTATTTGACACAGAGAGAGAGCACACAGGAAGGGGGAGCTGCAGACAGAGGCAGAGGGACAAGCAGACTCCCTGCTGAGCAGGGAACCTGATACAGGGCTAGATCCCAGGACCCTGAGATCATGACCTGAGCAGAAGGTAGATGTTTAACCGACTGAGCCACCCAGGCGCCCCTATGGTTTTAATTTCTTAAAACAATAAAGTATGCTACTATTTTCCTTTCTACCATGGCAGTAATCCCTAATATTATAAACACATAAGAACCAAATTACTTGCTTTTCTCAAAATAATGTTTTCTGTCAGTACTTAACACAGAGGTTTTTCTCTGCTACATCAGAGTGATCATATCATTTCTTTTATATAAGAATTGAAGTGTTGAATTCCAAATTAATGGTAAATCTCATTTACTAAAAAACCAAAACTCCTGTGGGCCCCACTTTTGCAGACACCTCAAGAGACTAGAAATCAGTCTTAATGTTTGTTTTTCCTTTCTGATTCTACCAAACCCTTTAACATTTGACACAACTATTCAAACGAATCATCCAATATCATTGTGACTCATCTGTCTACTAACATCTATTGAGTGCTTACTTTGTGCCAGGCATTATTCTCATTTCTCTAATGTATTATCACATTTAATCAGTGAAGACAGGTATTATCCTCATTTTACAAATGAGAAAACTGAGGTGTACAAAAGTTAATACACTAAGATCAAACTAATCATAACTTGTAGAGTTGAAATTTGAACCCAGGCCGTTAATTCCAGAATCCTTAAGGAAGACTGACGAAATGACATACATTTTCTCTTCTTGAAGAATATCACTGCCCTCCCACTTTTGAACCAAAAGTTTCTATTTATCTTCTTTTCTTCTTTTCTTCTCAACTCTGTGATGACTTCCAAAACTCTTTCACCTCCTGAGGCTTAATGAGCTCTAGAGTAAGGATGCTTGCATTAAAATACTGGTTATGCCACTAATCATGTGATACTGGGCAAATTACTTCATCTCTAGGACACAACTCCCTCATCTGTACAATGAAGAGGATAAAAAAACCTACTGCACTGCATCTGTTCTGAGGGTTATATGAGATAGCACGTGTAAATTACAAAACAGTCCCTAACACATAGATATCACTATGATAGTTGTAACTTTTATAAATAAATACAGTTCTCAAAGACAGTAATAATTTCTTTTTTTTTTTTTAAAGATTTTATTTATTTATTTGAGAGAGAGAGAGAGCACATGAGAGGGGGGAGGGTCAGAGGGCGAAGCAGACTCCCTGCTGAGCAGGGAGCCCAATGCGGGACTCGATCCAGGGACTCCAGGATCATGACCTGAGCCGAAGGCAGTCGCTTAACCAACTGAGCCACCCAGGCGCCCCAGTAATAATTTCTTGATTTTGATGCAAAATTCAACTGAAAATTAACAGGAAGCCTTTTCTAATACACTGTCTCAGACTCTTTACAAAGAGATAGTACTATTACTCATATTGGTATTTGAAAGAACTTCACCATGATATTTTAAAACAAACTTTGTGTAAATTAACATTGCTGACTACAAAGCAATACATAGTTTGGCTTTTAAAAATATTGGGCTCAAAAAGATTACACAAAATTTCAATTCCTAAAATGTAAAACTAAAAATCATATACTTTTTATGACTTATCTGAAAGTAAAACCTGCCCTGGACAGATCTGTTATCATTTCACTATGAACATTCATGTTTCAATGCAAAAATATTAATGTGCTTGATTATGTGGAATGGTTTCATACTTTTCCATCAGTATTATATAATATTATGGAGCAGGGGGTGGGAGACAGACAGAACATTAAATACTGAAACACTTCTGACTCCAAAGGTTTCAAAAAAAGTTCTAGGAACCTATGCACCATACAGCTTGGATTTACTTGAGAAATGAAACTTCAGTAGTAAAAATATTGGGCTCCAGAGTACACATCTATGGCCTCTACGAAAAAGAAGAAATTCAGTTTGTTTTTCTAAGAACAGAAGTTACTAGAGTATTTCAGAACTCCAGAAAAAAATGCTCCTCAATATTTTATTAATTGCCCCCTTTTTACTGTACATGGTTATTTAGGGTTGTAGTTACACAGTGCATAGGGGGACTGTATGAACTTAATATTTATACTGCCTTTTAAAATGTCCATAATTCCAAAATTATTCCTAAAGTTGAAAAAGAAAAGCAAAAACCCCAGTTATCTGAAATAAACTTAGAAAAGGCTTTTAAAGCAAGGAAAGCAGAAAAAGCATTACAAAAACTTAAGATTCAAAGGTAGAGGATCTGGAGAATGGGGGAAATATGCTAGGACTTGGGTAGGGGAAAGACAGTAAATAGCAGAAACAAAAAATGGTAATAACACATAAAATTTTATGCTTTATTCAATTATCTTTATATCTAAAACAGGGTTACCATGTATTCCGACAGTCTTCCCAGCCTCTCCCATCCCAGACCTCCCACAATCAAGGTATACCTAAAATAATCAAAGAGGTGGAAAGTTCCCTCTATGACTAACCTGACAAAACAAAAAGCAAGAGGATCTAATCACAGTATATGAATGGAATCAACAAGGAATGGTTAGTATATACCAATAATTTGCTTCCGACCCAAAGACTTATTTTAATTTTCCTGGCTCTCCCAAGTCCAGAAACTTGATTTCAGGTGTTTTGTTTTGATTTCCGGTGTTTTTAAGACATTATAGAAAGATATGTAACTTTACAGAATTGAGAGTAAAATAGAAATCTTTACCTTATCCTCTCCAAAAGATGAAATAAGCTAAAGATATAAAACTTTAGTATTAAATATTTGCTTTCTTTTACGAAAAAAATCATATCTGATTTAAAGATTTACTTAGACACATCTCAATAATACAGACATATTCACTACCTACTAAACCAATGTTTACATATTTTTAAAGTATGATCCCCCAAACCTGCATTTAAATCTCTGGGAACCACCTCAGACCTAATGATGAGATTTGGGGTAGGGTTCGAAAATCTTCATTACAGGGACGCCTGGGTGGCTCAGTTGTTAAGCGTCTGCCTCCGGCTCAGGTCATGATCCCAGGGTCCTGGGATCGAGTCCCACATTGGGCTCCCTGCTCAGCGGGGAGCCTCTTTCTTTCTCTGCCTGCCACTCCCCCTGCTTGTGCTGTCTCTCTCTGGCAAATAAATAAAATCTAAATTAAAAAAAAAGAAAATCTTCATTACAAACAAGAGTCTTGGTTAATACACACACTGGAATTTGGCCTATTCACACCTTAGATTTCAGAACTGGAATGGACTGTTATAATCATCATGAAGTGGTGACAAATTATACTTCATAACAAGAACTCCAAGGTGTTTTTTAAAAATCCTGAAATGCCTATATATCAAATGTAAATACCAAAGTTTCAGAGTTAAAAGCATTTTGATTATTTTAAATTTTGGAATCAAAGTCTTATTTACATATTTTAAGCAGAAAATTTAATTTGCCAGCATAACTTATTTTTCAACCTAAAGCTATGTAACCATGAGAGCAGGGTTCCAGGGTCTGTCATATTCACAACTGTGTATCCAGTGCCT